TTATGTAATTCATTACGTATTTATTGGCTTGTTAAATTTATATTTCTTACTTGGTTTTACATATCTGGTGCCGCTAAAACTAATAAACTTATTCAACTTGATGGTATTCTCAAGGATCTTGAAGAAAGTAAGTATAGTAGCAATATTTCGATTTTTGATCCTATAGTTAATTATAAGTCGCTCTGTATTTACCACAGAAACAGACTTCCTCTATTGTCTCTGTCTGTCTTATACATCATGGGTTTTTGTAAATATATTTACATTATAGAACAAGAAGTCGAAAAACAAGAAGAAGAAGAAGAAGAAGAAAATCAAAATGTAGAAGACGTCGAAAAACAGCAAGAAGAAGAAGAAGAAGAAAAAGAGGAAGAAGAGGAAGAACAAAAATCGGCCGACGACGAACCAACTGTCGAACTTACTCTAGAACAAAGTATTGCTCAAAATGGTGATTCTTCGACGCTAGACTTACAAATGAGAGGATTAACTAATGAAGACATGAAAATTATTGGGAATACATTAAAAAACAGCAAGGTAAGACAATATAAATTTATTATTAGGAATTATCAAATGAAGAATTGCAGATATATAATTAATCTATTACTTTCCATCGTTTTTCCAATTAACTCATATTTCCATATGATTGACTAAGTTGCCTGTTTAATTATTGTTCTTTCTTCCCATTCATAGTAAAAATAACGAGTGCTGCTTAAACAATAGACTGCCTTTTATTTATATGCTACACGCTCCATATCATCTATTCATTTTCTCTTATAGACGGTGACTAAACTCAACCTTGTAGGGAATTCGTTTGAAAGCGAAGGAATTCAATATTTAGCTGATGGTTTAAGAAATAACACAGTACACTTCTGTCTTTTTTTTTTGTTTGTTTCATTTCCATTTCTATTTTTCTTCATAGACACTCACCACACTCGAGTTCGGTAATACTGGTTTTTCAGACGACGCTGCCAAACATCTAGCAGATGTTTTAAAAATTAATACAGTAAGATTTTCTCTTTCTTCGTTTCTCTCATTTTTTATATTTACTTCTCATATAGACACTTACTACAATTGGACTTTTCAATAACAAAATTGGTATTGAAGGTGCACGACATTTAGCTGATGCTTTGAAAAATAATACAGTAAATCTCAGTTTTTTCTTTATATCGCTGATTTCTATTTTCATTTTTCTGTACAGACTCTCAAAACGATCGACCTTGGAATGAATCAAATTCCCATGTCGCTCTTTTTTCAATAAAACCGTCGGTAACCGTCGGTTGTGCTAAGAACCAGCGGTGACCGGTGGTTGAAGCTAGAACCGACGGTTAACCGCAGTTACCGATCGGTTTCGACTAGCGGATTTTAACGATGAAACGATAAACAAAAACAAACAAACTATATGTAGTGATATAAAAAAAATTAGAAATAATCATCAATATGATTAGAATTCTCTTGTTCTACTAGTTTTATCAAGATTTAGAGAAATAAAACTCATATTTTAAAGCTATACTAAGATGTCGCTTTTTTCTTTCTCATTGGATTGATTGAAATTATTTAAGACTTGTTCATTAGATAAAGGACATAATGAATGAATCGATTGTTGAAGATAATTTTTTAAGTTTATAATATCTATGTATATGGTTTCCATTTTTATTTTTTAATTTGTCTTGAAATTTCTTGCACAATTAATTTTATTTTTAGATATCAATATTCCATTCATGTATCAAAAATCGTTTTATTCTCGTCGAGTTGTCAAAGAAAAAGGTAAATATCAATTGTATCAATATTTTTCGTTTTAAATAATAAAATTTATATTTTCAAGATCAATGTCGCATTAAATGGTGATCAATTTGGTGATGAAAATATAATCGTTGACGATTCACCATTTAAATCTACATTAGTGAGTTATATTTAGCAGGTTTTGCTTATGAACTTTTGGCTGTTGTTTTTTTTTAGATTTATGCCAATTCAGAAGGCGTATCTGTGGATCTACTTCAGTTATATGGTGTTCAAACTCATATGGGTAGTTATATTGCACTTGTAATGGATAAGTTATTTACGTTCGAAGAAATAACGACCATTACTAAAGATGAATTTATGAAGGATGAACGACACTTAATTATTAAAGGTAAAACAAAAATCAGTTTTTATCATAGTCATTTCTTAAATATGGTTCTATTTAGAAGCAGTTCGATCAAGATTCAAGCTGAATCATGAAATGTTACGGTCTGAATGGTCAACCTTGCATGAATGCATTCTTCATAAGAGACGCAATGAATTGAAGACAAAAAAAGTAGTACTGGTAATGTAATAGTGCAACCTGCACCACAAGTAGCACTACACGACGATTTTGATGAATTTATTGGTTCATTTGCAAATTAAAAAGCTTCTTGTTAAATATCTTTTTTACTTCTATTTTCTTGTTTCAAGTATTTTTACTTTATTAAAAACATTTATTTCTTAAATATTACATGATTATTGTTATAATATGTAATACTTCTTTATTAACTGTTTTTATCATACCGTCGTAGTTAGAATAGTAGAATATGTACTTGATTAATGTTATTTTATGTTGTAACTCGTGTTTTTGTAGACGCATTCTTCCTGTGTGAAAACATAATGTACGCGTCTTTTTGTTTGTCTCATTGCAAGTTGATTTTGTTGAACATGTGTGATATTAAATAATGATAAGTGATTTTTTATATTTCAATGATTTAAAATGCTCTTTTATTGTTATGCTAGAAATTGATTTTGATGAGATTTAAATAAAGTCTAACTGAAAACTAGATGTGAATTAAAACTTTTACTGTAAACTACATTCGATCGTAACACATCAGTAAGAGCATGAAGAACATCGCCAGTGGAATGCAGTTAACGGCGGTTAACCGCGGTTAACTGCGATAACCGGAACGGTCAAATGGGCGTTCAAGCGGACGGTAAACTGCGGTTAACTGACGGTTTTAAAGCGGTTTGTATGACATGGGTTGGAACAGAAGGAGCTCAGCATTTCAGTGATGCGTTGAAAAATAACACCGTGACCATCATTCTTTTCTCATCTTTCTTATTCTGATCTTCATTTTCTCTCACAGGGACTCACAGAATTCCACATTCAATGCAATGAAATTGGAGACAATGGAGCCAAATACCTGATTGACGCTTTACGAAATAACAAGGTAAACATATCGTTTTTTTTGTCTCTCATGTTTATATTTGTATTGTCTCTTATAGACACTCAAAGTATTAGCTATTTTTGGCAATGAAATCACAGGCGAAGGATTGATACATTTAGCTGATGTACTAAAAGAAAATACAGTGAATATCATTCTCTTTTTATCTATCTCGTTTGTATCTACATTTTTTCATATAGACACTCATCGAACTTAATATTCGCGCCAATCCAATTAGAATGAAAGGGCTACAATATCTTGCGGATGCTTTACAATATAAAACGGTAAACATCTTTGTCTGCACTTTTCTGCATATTTCTTTACACATAGGCACTTATGACACTTGACCTAAGCTCCTGCAATATCTCGGATGAAGGAATTCAATGTTTGGCCAATGGTTTACGAAAAAATACAGTAATTTTTTTCTTTTTTCCATTTTTAGCCTAATTTTTGTCACACAGACAATCACCAACATCGATCTTGGATGGAATGAATTCGGAGACAAAGGATTTCATTATCTATTTGAAGCTTTACGTTATAACACGGTAAATATCATTCTTTCTTTAGTTCATTTTTATTTTTTTTATTCAGACACTCACAACACTCAACTTAGCATCGAATAAAATGGACACCGAAGGCTTCCAAAGTCTTGCCGATTGTTTAAAAGATAATACGGTGAACATCTTTCTTTTTCTATCGTTCTTATCTTGCTCTTCTTTTTTTTGTCACACAGACATTGACTAAACTTCAATCTTATCAGAACGGAATCGATGATAATGGACTTTCATATTTGGTTGATGCTTTAGGAAAAAATAAAGTGAATTTCTTTCTCTCTCCCTCTTCATGTCTCATTCTTTTCCTCACTTTTTACACAGACACTTACCACATTTGAACTCTCAAGTTGTGGAATTTCAACGGATGGAGCTCGTCATTTAGCTGAAATCTTACGAAATAACGCGGTGAGCTATTTTATCAGTATTAATAGTATTACTATCTTTATTTTTCACACAGGGACTCACTACACTTAACATTCAGTATAACTACCAAATATACAGCGAAGGAGCGAAACATCTGGCCGATGCTTTGCGAATTAATAAGGTAAGTTTATGTTCTTTTTTTATTTCTACTTTGTTTCTATTACATAGACGCTCACTACGCTCAACTTTGGAAGCGGTGGAATTGGATATGAAGGAGTCCAACATCTTGCTGACGCATTACGGGATAATACAGTGAGGATCGTGTTTTTTTCTTCTTCTCATATCTTCAATTTTTCAAATAGACACTGACCTCAATTAATCTTGGTGGAAATGGACTTGAATCCAAAGGAGTTCAATATCTGGCTGATGCTTTACGAAATAACAATGTCAGCATTTTTTAATCTTTATTTATATCATCTCTAACGCCATTGATTTGTACAGACACTCATGACACTCGAAATACGATCGAATCAAATTGATGCCAAAGGAGCCCAACAACTGGCTGATGCTTTACAAAGCAACACGGTAAAGTTTTCTTATGTTCACGTTTATCTCTTAGGTTGATATTTATCTTTAACACAGGGACTTACTACACTCGATCTCAATAGTAATAGAATAGAAAACAAAGGAGCTCAATATTTAGCTGATGCTTTACGAAATAACAAGGTAAACTTAGTCTTTCCTTATTTTCTTTGTTTTCATCCTTACTTTTTGACATAGACGCTCACTACACTTGATATCGGAGAAAATGAAATTAAAGGAAAAGGTATCCAGTATCTTGCTGATGCTCTACAAAGCAATACAGTAATATTTTTCTTAATCTATCTGCCATTTTCATCTTTACTTTTTACATAGACATTGACCAAACTCAATCTCTACATGAATCGTATCAGCAGCAAAGTTGCACAGGATGCGATTAAAATGCTGAATAATAATAATAATGGACTGAACGTGGTGATAACGTACTAGTTTCAATGACGGACATTGGATAAAAAAAACTTAAAAATTTAGTTAGAATTTGTAGTTGAAAGTAATTTTAAAAATATATTATTTAATAAAGAATCGAGTTTTCAATCGAACTGTGTCTTAGGAGTAAGGTGAATTCAAAGAGTTCTAGGATCACCTGAGTCCTACCCGAGCTCTCCTCCTGGTTACGTCACTAATATAAAACAGTTGATCATGAATTAAACATTGATTAATCGTATTTTTTTCTTTCACGAACTTTGTTATGCGATTGTTTTTTTGAATTTAGACATAGTTATTATTTAGTTCATCAGATATACACGGGGAAGGGGCTATAATCTACAATGATGCTGCAACTTACAAGGTATATCAGACTTAACAAGATTTTCAACGATATTCGTATTTTCAACCACATTCATATAGTCAAGATATCCAACAAAAACAGCATTAATAAAGAAACTGTAAGAGAACACAAAAAATAGACCCATAGTCATACTTTATTTTCACCATATATATAAATATTTTATTTGTAATTTACACTGCGTATAAATCGATAGAAATGTATTAAATTATCATGCATAACATTTCGAATGCATCTACTTATCTTCATGAGATCAGCGATTCTCTCTGTGAAAAGTTAACATATAATTTATATACATCAGAGATTTTTATTGTTAAAGTGATATATGGAAGAAAATAATGTTGAAAACTATCAATAAATAATATCGCATTATTATATTACTACACTTAAAATCGTTGATAGCAATTATCTATTTTGATTGTTAATTACTGGCATGTTTGAGAAAGATATCTCTACTTTCAGCATTCGTTTAACTAAGCATTTCAATACAATGATATAGTATATGAGAGAGATATATATTTATTATAAAAAATTGTTAAACTATATTAGTAAAAATATGATTGTCTTATTTTTTGTTTTCCATTTATTTTTTTGGTTGAACAGAATCATAACTTTGCATTAAATTTGCATATTGTGGTAAATGATCAGCAAGTACTTTACCAAAACCTTGAACATCATTTCGCCAATCTCGTTGTAATTCACTACCAACTGCAAACCAATTAATTAATTGAGCACCAGCATTTTGCATTCTTAACCATGCACTATCACGTACACTTGTATTAAATGTACCGCTACAATCTGTAACAACAAAGACTTCAAAACCTTCTTCTAATGCTGATAATGTTGGAAATGCAACACATACATCAGTTACAATACCAGCAATAATTAATTGTTTACGACCAGTTGCTTTTACAGCTTTTACAAAATCTTCATTATCCCATGCATTAATTTGTCCTGGTCGAGCAAAATAAGGTGCATCTGGAAACATATTTTTTATTTCTGGTACCATTGGTCCATTTGGACCTTGTTCAAAACTAGTTGTAAGAATAACTGGTAATTTAAAGAATTTTGTAATATCAGCTAATGCTAATAGATTATTTCTAAAATCATCTGGACTATAATCACGTACTAATGAAAGAAGACCAGCTTGATGATCGATAAAAAGTACAGCAGCTTTATCTTTATCCAATCGATTGTATTTAAAAGGCATTGTTTTTTGTTTTGTAATAATCACACTGGTTGATAAATTGTGAAGAGAAGATATTGGTTTGATTTACTGTCTTTACATGTTGAATATATACACATTTGAAATGTATGCATCGATGCTTTCTGCTTGGTAATAATTGATCGTGGGATTAAAACCATGCGCAAGAAGAACAATGAAAAACGCATCGTCATTCTCAATATACGTTTCTATTTTTGTATATATATATATTTTGTAAAGAATAAGTACTGGTATTTTGTTGGCCCATACCTTTACCGCGTGGCTTACAACGAAAGAGTAAAGTAAATAAAAAACGTACTCAGTTTCATATGCACTTGTAGTTCTTTTTTTTACGTAACGGAAATCGTTTGAAATCTAAATGTATTTATTTTTATTAATATTAAAAAATATAACAGACATATATTGAGATATTAAATATGATATCTATACTAAAATCATCAATTTACTCGTTTTTTTAAGTATATTTTTCTACTAATAATGTTAATATGATTTACTCATTAGCTGTTCTGTCACGTTTTATCACACCACAAAATAGGTTCATCCAAGTCCAATGCCTAGAGGTAGTCATTTGAGTCTTTTTGACTATCGTAAACAAAAAATCAAATTTCATCTTATTTTTTTGTTATCATTGAGTAGAATTATTCGTTCTATCACTGGTTCGAAAAAGTCAAAGGATAAAAAAATGTTTTTTGTGAATCATGAGATTGTTAATAAGTACGAGTATTATATTGCTACAGTCGACACGAGAAAAAAAATATCATTGAAGCATAACTGTCGTACATCTATACTGCTGAAAAGAAACAAAAAAATTTAAAATATTATGTTTCATTCAGGTATGGTTACCTTATAGTCATAGACAGCATGGAGAAAAAAAATTTTCTTTCAATCAGAAGATTTTTTTTACATATAATTGTCATGTTCTAAGCACGAAGATATTCTCAAAGAGAATCCTCCGGTGTTTCATATCCGACAAGTTGACACATCTTGAGGGTATGGGTGTACATATACTATTGCTCCTATACCCACACCCTTATCTGCAATAAGTGGAAACAAATTGATTTCTGGATTTCTAACGATTTACTGGAATATATAGATATTTAAACGTGATTAACAATTATCACAAAATAGAAAGTATTATAAATGATTTTCACAACGGAGAAAACATATTTTTAGTTTATTTTAATAACGAATAAATTGTTGTACTCGATTGTTATACGTATCTGCTACATATAAATTTCGTTGAGAATCAAGTATTACTGCACAAGGCTTATATAGAAACGTATCATTAGAACCCGATTGGCCACTTACACCAACAATTGTCGTGCCATTGGTTTGACCAGCGAGAAATAATTGAATACGATGATTATCTCTATCAGCAACATAAAGATTACCCAGAGAATCAAGAGTAACACCAACAGGATAATTAAGAAGTTCTGATGAACTTCCACTAGTTCCAGTACTACTTCCAGCAACAAGAATCCAATTAGTTGCACCTATTACCCAACGAACAATATTATTTGAACCTGCATTAGCAATAATTAAACTGTTAGATGACGAATCAAAATAAAGACCAACAGGATAATTCAGTTGTGTACTTCCTGTTCCCAGACCATTTCCTCCAGCAACGACAGTTCCTGAAGATGCACCTGATAAATAACTCATAACACGACTATTACTCTGATCGACTATATATAAAGTACCAGAACTTGAATCAAGTGCAATACCAAATGGATCAATCAATAGATTATTTGCAGAACCAGTAGAACCTATTATTGAAATTAAATTCTTATGATATATTTCTATATAATTACGTCATTTCTTACCTTGAATACCAGCAACCGTTGTGCCTGAAACTGCACCATTCGACCAATACTGAACGCGATTATTACTTGTATCTGTTATATAGATGCCACCACTTGAATCTAACGCAATTCCACTTGGTTGATAGAATTCCGTAGAATTTGTACCAGCTATTCCACCTGAATCTCCAGCTATTGTTGTTCCAGTTATTGCTCCTACTATCCATTTTTGAATTCGATTATTTTGTTGATCAGCAATATAAAGTGTATTTGATGAATCTAATGCTAAACTAAATGGATGATCAAGTTGATCAGCAGCAGCCGTAGTAACAGAACTTCCAGTACCAGCAACCGTTGTACCTGTTACATTCCAACGATACAAAAATGTTGCTGCTGCAATATAAATAAAATATTTTTCATATATTATGAAAATAGAGAAGTATTTTATATAACACTCTAGAAAACAAAAAACTTACTTGTTGTTGAAGATATACTAGATGTCGGCGTAGCTATATAGAACAGAGAAAATTTTTTAATCAATAACAATCTTTATGAAATATTAAACAACAAACTGATATTTATTATTGATGTGGTTGTATTATTGTTAGTATTTGCATTTGATGATGATGATGTATTGGATTGTAAGGCTAAATAATAATAAATTAAATCATAGAAAAGGATTCCTTTTGTAATTTGCATATAAATCAAAAATTTATTATTTATATAATTGAATTCAAACAATGGTATGATTTATTTATAAAGAAAAAAAAACATACTTTTTATAAGAAGAAATATTACAGCACCAATCAAAAGTAGAATGACAGCCACTACGCCTATTTTGAAAAGTATGCCACCCTTTCGTTGATAAAATGATCGTCTTTATAAAGAAAATAGTCTTTGATAAATTCAAATGTAAAACATACTTTTTAGGTTGTTCAATTATTTTCGATGATTCATCTTTTTTCGTTTGTGAATTATCTTCAGGTTTTGGTAGAACTTGATTTTTTCGTATCGAAATTCTTTTGTTATTATCGATTGATTTCACATCATCATGGCTGACATGTTTAATTTCAGCTCGAGAAGACGTCGTGCTACGACAGAGTGATCGAAGATCATCTCGACTGAGACGTCTAACCTTTGGACGGATTGGATTTTTTGCACTACAGATTGATCGAAGTTCTTCTCGAGTAATCTTCTTATGATCAATACGAGCAGATTTTGGAATTATTCTTACTGGCATAATTATTTTGCGTCTTATTAAATTATTCAGTATGAAGTTATACCTTTATATACGTCTTATATAGTATTGATTTGTTTTCATTCATCAAACAAAAAAAGAAATCTTACATTTATACAGAAAAATTCATTTCTGTATTTTACTCAATAATACAAAAGTTGATTAAAAAAAACGAAAAGAAATGACGATCATGCCATTTTCAAATTGCTTTTTTTCAAACATTACTATAGAAGAAAGTAGGTTAATCTTCAGGGTGGGCGGGTATTCTGCTTATTCATTAGCCACGCTCACATCCACAAGATTCTTCGATTAATATATGTTATATTAAATTAGAAATATTTTTGTTTTCTTTTCTGGATAACATTTTATTCTTATTTATTTAAACAAAAATAGTATTCAATTATCCACGACATCCACTTTGTTGTTGAGCAGTGTTGAATGCCTTCGATCCAAATGCATTGACAACACTAAAAAGAAGGTTTCCATCCACCTTACACGCAACTTGCCGAGTATTAGACCACCATTCGAACCAACCACCAAGTTTACCACACGCGGAATTGAGACATGATTCAAAATTGTTGTCACATCGAGATTGCGTTTGACCGCATGTTTCGTAGCATATATCGTGTGTGTTGCAACATTTGATTAGTACACCTTCGCCAACAGCCTGAAGTAGCCAATTGATGGTTAGACCACCTTCTGCACCACATCCATTCGCTACACGAACCATACGGTTCTTAATTGTTGGATTTCCATACGTTGTTTCGATGCAAATAGCCACTAACATAGCCACGATAAAAATTCCGGTGTTCGAAGGTATTGAAATCATGTTAGCAAAAAAAGACTACTACGATGTAACTAGATGCCATATTGCTTGCTTTTTTATACTATTATTTCAGGACTATCGTTCTTACGCTTTGTATTTACAAATGGCTTACGATAGACTAGAAAGAAATGAAGGGATTGGAGATAAGCATAGTGAAATTGATACTTAACTGTGATTTTCTACGAAATCATCGTAATTACCTGATTATTTCGGTGAAAATATATCATTTGTTGAGACTAACGTAGGCTTTTCGTCGAAAAAGAAAAAAACAATAACAATTATTCGGCTGCAGATGTGAGTAGCTTATCAGAAGCGAAAATTACATATTTTTTTCCGTGAAAAAAATTGAAAATAACCAATGACTAACAAATTCACTGAAAGTAGCTCTTGGAATTCGAATACGACACTTATGATGCTCAGACAAAAGTTGTATGTAATCAACATGAAATGAGACTTTGAAATATTCTTTTAGGTCGGTCATAAATAAACTTTGAAGAAAGAGAAAATGTCGGCTCTCTTTTAAAATCAAATGGATAAAAAATGAAGACGAACACGAAGAACTTAATATAACTGAAATATGTTGAGGGTGTGATGTGAATGAGAATTTGAAAAAAGCACCCACACCCTCAAGATGGTTTAACTGACTTTTGAGCATACAAAGACAAGCTATTTGCGTGAGTCGAAAGATACATGTATCGAAATGATTCTTTATTGGTAAAATTGAATAAGATGATATGGATTATAAAAAAATTAAAACCTGTTATGTAATAGTGTTAATTTGAACTATTCGAAGTTTTTGAATGATCATTACGTTTACTAGAAATGATGGTGTTTGTGTTCATTTCTGTTAATGGCACATATAATTCAGCACTTTTGAGACTACCACTAAAATCGTAGCCACCAAAAGCTAATATGGTTCCATTTGCTAATGCAGTTAGAGCAAATTTCCATCGTTCACCATTCATGCTATCAATACTTGTCCAAGTTTCAACTAATGGATCATACAATTCAACACTACTTAGGTATCTATTCTGACCGTCTCCACCAGCAATCATTACTTTTCCACTTGTCAACACCACTGCGCTGTGATCACACCGTGCAGTTAACAAATCACTAGTAATGTTCCATGTTTCTGTTGATGGATCATATAATTCAGTGGTGTTTATAATCTTGTTACTCTTAAATCCACCAGCAACCAATACTTTTCCATTTGCTAATACCGATGCTGTATGCAAATCCCGTGAAACATGCATACGGTCAGTCAATGTCCAGGTATCCGTTAATGGATCATAGAGCTCAACATCATCGAAACCTGAACCACCAAGAACTAGTACTTTGCCACTCGGTAAGATTGATGCTGTATGACGACTTGAGTGCATGTCACATCTCAGTGATAATATCACTGAGATTTATGTACCTATCTATCTAGCTGGTAAATAGGAAGATAGGTTGATACTCCGATAGATGAGTACACAGACATATCAACAGATAAACAGACAGATGTACACACAGGCAGATAGACCGACACATAGATAGACGCATACAGCACTATACAATTAGGTATATAGGTGGATAGTTCATTATATGGATAGATATATCGAACGATGGTTGTGGATATGGTAAGTTAGATAGATAGATAGGTAGATAACTCTATATATACATGGATAAATCGGTAGTTGTCGATATGGTTAGTTAGATAAATAGATTGGTAGATAACTCTATATATAGATGGATAGATTGGTAGTTGTGGATAT